AATCAAGACAAGAAATCCAGGATCCAAAACAATAAACAGGTCGGGTCTAAATCGGAATCGTTATAGGATTGAATGGGTGTCATTTAAAAGGAATCTATGGTGGACAATTATTATGTGCACTTGGAAGAGATGGGAGTAACAACAACTACTTTCCAATTTTATAGGCAACTGTTGAGGCAAAGAGTAAAGATTCCTGGATGTGGTTTTTAAGGAAACTCATGGATGATATTGGTATTCTGATGACATGGGATGGGTCTTCATTTCTAATAGACAGAAGGGGTTGGTACTTGCATTTGATGAGGTAATGCCAAATATGGAACATAGGTTTTGTATGAGGCATATTTACTCAAATTTCAGAGCAAAGTTCAAAGGGATTGAATTGAGGGACCTATTGTGGAAGGCAGCTACAGCTAGGATTGTGAGGAAATTTGAATTTCACATGAACAAGTTCAAGGAAATGGATCCAAAAGAGAAAGCGTACAGGTGGCTAAGGAAGATAGATCCTGTTTTATGGACTAGGTCCCATTTCAACCCAAGAAGCAAGTGTGATACATTGGTCAACAACATGTGTGAGTCATTCAATAACAATATCTTGGAAGCTAGGGACAAACCCATAATCAGTATACTTGAATGGATTAGGAGCAGAGTTATGCACAAGATCCAAATCAAGAAGGAAGGGATGCAAAAATAAACTGGTGAAATTTGTCCCAATATTTTGAAAGATTTGGAAGCACTCAAGGTGCAAGCCAGGAATTGTTTTGCAACCTAGTGTGGTGAAAGAAAATTTGAAGTTGATTGTGGTGATACCACACATATTATTGATTTAGAGGAAAGGAAATGCAGGTGTAGGATGTGGGATTTGATTGGAATACCTTGCAAACATACAATCAGCTCCACAAATGTTCAAAGAGAGAAGCTTGGGGATTATATGCACCCTTATTACAGTAAGGACCATTATCTTGTAGCTTATAATTCAATAATTCACCTTGTTCCAAGCCAACATGATTGGGTTGAAACAGAATTGCCAGTAATGGCTCCTCCATTCTACAAAAAACAGCCTGGAAGACCACCAAAAATGAGAAAGAATGGGATAGATGAGCCAAAAAACCCTATCAGAGTGTCAAGGCAGAATAGATTCATTGTTTGTGCTAGATGCCTTTAGAAAGGCCACAACCAGAGGTCTTGTAAGGGTCCGGTCCATCCCAAGTCCAAGCTTTTTAAGCAAAAAAGAGGTAAGCAACAGCAACAACCACTTTCCGTAGCAGCAACAACAGCATCAGCAACAGTAACAACAACAGTAACAGCTTCAGCATCTCAAGTAAGCTTTACCTCCAATTTCATTTAATTTTACAAGACTTCTATAACAAATACTTAGTATATATATAAATCATTGCAGCCCAGAAGGAAGCTCCCTAGTAAGAGGGCCAACACATCCTCATCTCAAGTAAGATATGTCCACTTTGCACTTTCATTTGCTTTTAAACCATAAATTCACAATATATAATTGCATACTTGTTACATCATTGTAGCCTACTAGAGTTGGCCACACATTTGAAGAATTTTCAAATATGAAAGGCAACACATCATCATCTCAGGTATGCTCTCTCTCCTTTGGAAGTTTATTTGGATTTTGACTTAATTGACAGCATATAATTGCTTACTTGAACCATTATCATTACAGCCCACTAGAGTTCAATACACTTCGCATGAATTTGATAACTCATCATCTCAAGTATACTCAAATTTCATTTGCAAGTTCATTTTCTTTTTTAAGTAACTCACAACATTTGATTGCATACTTGTTAAATCATTACAGCCCACTGGCACTAGAGTTGCCCAAAATTCTCCACATTTCCTAACTTAGATGGCAACACATCTTCATCTCAGATGAACACATGCACACTTCTCTCTCTCTCTCTCTCTCTCTCTCTCTCTCAGTTATGCAACTTCATTTTGTTTTATACTATTCCACAATTTGTAATTGCATACTTGTTAAATCATTTCAGCCCATTAGAGGTGCCCACAATTCACCACATTTTCCAATTGGGATGGGCAACACTTCTTCATCTTAAGTAAGCTCTCTCTCTCTCTCTCTCTCTCTCTCTTCAATGCAACTTCATTTGCTTTTATAGTATTTTACAAAATGTAATTTCATACTTGTGTGTGTTGTAGCCCGCTAGTTATGGTAGAGGAAGAAGTGGGCCAGTTGGAGGTGGCAGGGTTATGTCCAGATCTGCATTGGGAGGTAGTTTCATACAAGAGGTAGAAGAAAATGTGGGTTTGCAAAAGCTACAACTCAAAGGCAAACTGACAAAGGCAAAGAGAAAGCATGATAGGCTAGGCATCTTTTTTGTGTTTTGAGTCAGCTTTTGTTGTGTTTTGAGTACTTTTTAGCTTGTTAAATCATTAAGTGGGTTTGTACCAAATTGTTTTTGAATTTGCAACTGGCTAATAAACAATCGTATCTTAGTTTAGTGTGTTTTGAGAAGTACAATGGGTAGTACACAATGGTTGATTGGTTTGTTTACTTATTATTTTTCATGAAGCACTATGTTTGCTTTATTGTTTGTATTAAAGAATTGTGGTTTGTATTAAACTAATGTGAGTTGAATTATACAATTATGAGTTGATAAGGACCAATTGTTTGTGTTGTATGTTGTCCACAGGTTTACTTGTTCAAATTGTATTGTGTACCTTATTGTTTGTTGTTTGTTTTGTATACCTTTATTAATCCACAGGTTTACTTGCTAAAATTATTTTGTATGAAGCAAATGAAGCATGTTTCAAATAGGGGAACAACATGGTGTTGCACAATTATTTTGTGTTACCTTTGTACATGAGTGCTGCACAATGGGAACCAACATGCTTCTATTCATTAATGTTCTAAAAGTTGGAAGATGTAATCAAGAATTTTATTGCATTTTTTTAGTTCATCAGATGCTTACATTTCATGACCCAAAACATTCTTTCATTACAATTGCTTCACAAACCATTTTACACCTTATTGGTCAATATAGCAACAAGAAACACTTTCTTCATTCTTCATTTTCCATATTCATTGTATTTTTCATCTCTCGAACTCTATGGCCCAATAATAACCCATTTTTCTTGCCTCCAGGCAGCTTCAACCAAAACATTGTTATGATAAAGAAAAAAACCCATGTCCCAAACAGAGCTTTACAAAACATTTTCTCCTTTCTACGACTTGTTGCTAGTTCTTTCTCCAACCGGTTCATCTTTGCAACCATCTTTGGCAACACCTCCTTTCCATGTTAGCACATGGGTGGATCAACCCATTCAAAGTAGCCACAAGTTACATCAGCCTACAACAAAAAATATGAATCCACAAATTCCTTTTCTAACAAAATTCAATTTTTTTTCCAAAATAATAAATTTTAAGTTTTGCTTACCCCATATCTTGCACAACCATAAAACCTTTTATCCATGTTTCCAGATGTCATTAAAGTCTTCACAAGGGATCTCTCTCCACAATAAGATAGTCTTAGAGCATTTGTCCTTGAGTGTCCACTTTTAGAAGAAAATGAAGAAGCCATCCAACTAAAATCTTCAAAACCTTCAACTTTGGGAAAATCTGGGCAATTTAGGCAACTTTCAAAAAATCTAGGCAAATTTGGGTTTAGGGTTCTATGTTGTTTGGGTCTTGATCTATATATATATATCGCAATAAGGGTGTTTTGGTCATTTGTCATATGTTTTTGGGTGGAAAAAACTGCTCCACTCACAGTTCCATCCGAAATTGTACTCTGGTATGAAGTACAGGGGGTTTAAGTGTTACAAATGAAACTATAGGGGGGCTCTGTGTTTTTTAGGCAAACCACAGGGGGTTAAAGTGTAATTTACCCAAATAAATAATATGCTGAAGCATCATACAATAGAACCTCTTTAAATTCAACTAAGAAAAAACTCACCAGCCATATTCCATAACCTTTTTGCAATTCAACAGTTAAATCCCATCCATGAATCAATCACCGCATGAAACCCCAAAAATCAATTAGCAATAGTCATGATTTAAATCGAATCAAGGGTTTGTGTGTGTATGTGTGTGTGTGTGTGTGTGTGTCTGTGAGAGAGAGAGAGAGAGAGAGAGAGAGGAATAATGTACACTTGTAATTGTAAATCAAGTATCGTGAATCCGTGTTTTCTGAGTCTTCCTTATACTTTGATTGCGTTGATTGATAGTAGTACCAGCATTAAATTGATATTTCCTTCAAGGTTGATTATATTTTGGAGAAGTGAAGGCCTTGAGTAGAGTGGATGGCGGTGGCTAGGCGATTCTCTATGTCACGACCCAAACCCGGTACCCAAAGGCTCGGTGTCGTAACAAGATAAAAATAAAATAATTCGGATAATTTTGCAGTTGCAACGCAAGCGGATAAATTAAATAAAATAATTGAGTACCAACTGTTTATTTAAAAGGAAACATAACATAGTTATTTAAACTTCATTGTATTACAAGAGTCTGATAATAAAAGGATAGAAATGTAAAAAAAAACACAAAACAACACAGCGATTTATTTTCTATCTTGATCCCGCTAAACCTCGTCACCTGAAAGGGGTAACAACTATAAGCACATAGCAGAGTGAGAAATATTATACTGTGAGTGTAGGGGCACAAAATAGCCATGGATACTTATTTAAGCTAAAACATTAACATAATTTGAGTTGAATACACAATTTAATTAAGTGTTAGAAACTGAAATAATTAACTATAACCACGGTACATAACAGAACAGAACAGGGGTCGCTAAGTGACAATCACTACAGGGGTCAATGGATCCATGACAAACAAGGAGCCACAAAGTGGTCAAACAGGGGCCAATGGTTATTTAAGTCCCCCAAGGCGTGGGACTCCCGTGGTGGTACTTACACAACATAATTGCTTATAAGGTCATAATCAAATATTCTTTAGAATATAAAGAAACATATCCATGGGTTTCCTTTTAGGCAAGTAGGGTTCAGAAAATAATCCACGTAACTGAAACCTTTATAAAACATAACTATTATTAATAAACATAACTTGTATAAAATAGATTTTGGTAAGCCAAAACATAAGTAAAATACATTTTGGAGACTCAAGGTATAATATAACTCACCTTAAATTAATTCCTTTATTCTTCCTTTCCACCACTCAAGATTCTCACCCGTGCCGTCCTCTTCTCTACTCTCTATTTATTTTTTTTTCCGTTGCCTTAACATACCAATCTTCTCTATTTATAGGAAAGAAATTCTTGGGTAATAAGCTACGGAGAGTTCCGTAAATTGACGCGTGTAAGTTTCTGGTCCACCCTTATCTCTTTATTTATTAACTTGTTTGATTTTATTTTTTTTTTCTTTGACCATTGACTTATTTTGACCATTTTACTAATTTAAAAGTTATTACCTTCTTTGGTAATTCGTGATGACTCCTAAAATTATGTATGGCTATAAGTGAGGTTCATGTCTAAAAACCTCACTTCCCAACTATAAAACCTCACTTACCACTTACTAAAATATTTAATGTGTGGTGTTTCACAACGTATTTCCTTAACAATAAAATTCCCAATTTCCTAAATTATGCATTTATTTATTATTATTATTTTTCTGAGTTCTATTTATTGTAATGTTAAATTTAAAACATTCGGGTGTCACATTTCTCCCTTCCTTAAAAGAAGTTTGTCCCCAAACTTGACGTACCTTGGTTTTCGAAGAGGTGTGGGTATTTGGCTCGCATTTGACTTTCAGTTTCCCACGTTGCTTCTTCGACACAATAGTTTCTCCATAAGACCTTTACGAGGGGTATAGTCTTATTTCGAAGGATCTGATCACGACGATCGAGAATCTATACAGGTTGCTCTTCGTAAGAGAGATCTTCTTGAACTTCTAGGTTCTCATGATCAACAACATGCTCTGGATCTCGAAGATATCGACAAAGCATCGAAACGTGAAACACATTATGGATATTGGATAGTTCGGGTGGAAGCGCAAGACGATATGCCACAGGACCAATCCTCTCGAGTATCTCGAATGGGCCAATGTATCGTGGTCTTAACTTTCCTCGCTTTCCAAATCAGATAACCCCTCTTGTCGGTGAGATCTTAAGGAACACATGATCTCCTATTTGAAATTCTAAGTCTCGTCTCCGTATATCTACATAGCTTTTCTGGCGGCTCTGGGCAGTGCGAATTCATTGTTGGATGAGTTAAATTTTATCGCTCGTTATTTGCACGATCTCGGGGCCCAATAATTTTCTATCTCCGACTTCCGTCCAACACAGAGGTGATCGACATCTCCTTCCATACAGTGCCTCGTACAGTGCCATTCCAATACTTGCATGGTAGCTATTATTATATGCGAATTCCACTAAAGGTAGATGATCATCCCAATTACCTTTGAGGTCTAGTACACACAAACGTAACATATCTTCCAAGGTCTGGATCTTCCTTTCAGATTGCCCATCAGTTTGCGGGTGATAAGCCGTGCTAAACCTTAGAGTGGTTCCCAAAGCTTCTTGTAATTTGTTCCAGAAGTGAGACACGAAGCGGGGGTCTCTATCGGATACGATTGAAACTGGGGTGCCATGCAAGCGAACGATTTCCTTAATGTTGTAGAGAGTAGCGAACTTAGAGAGGGTGTACATAATTTTGATTGGTAGAAAATGCGCCGACTTCGTCAACCGATCTATGATAACCCATATTGCATCATTCTTTGAGATTGATTACAGTAGCCCGACCACGAAATCCATAGTAATATGCTCCCATTTCCATTCGGGAATAGGGAGTGGCTGCAACATACCTGCAGGTCTCTGATGCTCGGCTTTAACTTGTTGACAACACAGGCATTTGGAGACATGGTTTGCTATGTCTTTCTTCATTCCTGTCCACCAGAAGTGTTCCTGCAGATCGTGATACATCTTTGTATTTCCGGGATGGATCGCAACCCTCGAGCTATGAGCTTCTACCAATATCTTTTTCTTGAGTTCTGGAAGGTCAGGTACGCAAATTCGATTTCAAAATTTTAGCATCCTGTTGCTTATTGTAAAGTCAGGATCAGGCGTGTTTCCTTGCTCCTCGTACTTTTTCTTCAAAAGTTTATCTTCACATTGGCGGGCTCTAATTTCTTCAATCAACTCGGGTTCCACGATTATGTTGGCGGGCAACCCATGGATCTTGCGGGAAACGAGGGTACATGCCAAACTTTTGGTCATTTTTTGACTTAATGCGCCTGCTACTACGTTAGCTTTGCCGGGATGATGATGGATCTCTATATCGTAGTCCTTCATAAATTCTAGCCATCGCCGTTGCCTCATATTCAATTCCTTCTGTGTAAACAGATATTTGAGACTTTTGTGATCAGTGTAAACCTCGCAGGCTACTCCGTAGAGATAATGACGCCAGATTTTGAGGGCATGAATAGTTCCTTTCGTGATTCTTTAGTTGGCGGGAGGCGTAGGCAATGACCTTCCCGTTTTGCATAAGAACGCAACCCAAACCATTGTATGAGGCGTTGCTATAAATTACAAACCTTTCTGCTTCCGTGGGGAGTGCTAGTATTGGAGCCGTTACGAGTCTGTCCTTCAATTCTTGGAAGCAACGTTCCTGCTTGTCTGTCCATTCAAAGAGTGTGTTCTTTTGAGTTAGCTGGGTCAAGGGTGAAGCTATTTTCGAGAAATCTTGCACAAAGCGCCGGTAATAGCCGACTAGGCCCAAGAAGCTTCGAATCTCTGATACGTTAGTAGGTCGTGGCCAATCCATGATTGCTGCAACCTTTTGGGGATCAACTGAAATACCATCTTTGTTAATGACGTGACCGAGGAAGTGTACACTAGTGATCCAAAATTTGCATTTCTTCAACTTGGCATAAAGTTTATGATCACGTAATGTCTGTAGAACTTTTCACAAGTGGTATTCATGATCTTCTGGCGATTTGGAGTATATGAGAATGTCGTCAATGAAGACAATGACGAACTCGTCAAGATAGGGTTTGAACACTCGATACATGAGGTTCATGAAGGCCGCTGGAGCATTGGTGACGCCAAATGGCATGACGAGGAACTCGTAGTGCCCGTAACGGGTTTTGAAGGCAGTCTTTTCGATGCTTTCTGTTTTGACTTTTAGTTGATGGTAACCAGAACGCAAGTCAATTTTTGAGAACACTTGGGCGCCTTGCAATTGATCAAACAAGTTGTCAATTTATGGTAGGGGGTACCGATTTTTGATGGTGACTTTATTTAGCTCTTGATAGTCGATACATAACCTCATTGTACCATCTTTTTTCTTTACGAACAGTACCAGAGCTCCCCATGGTGAGGTACTCGGTCAGATAAAGCCTTTGTTCAGTAGTTCTTGGAGTTGAGTCTTTAGTTCTTTCAATTCTGCCATGGACATGCGGTAAGGGGTCTTTGAGATTGGTTGTGTACCAGGTTGGGTTTCAATGGTGAACTCGATTTCTCGATCAACTAGGGTGCCAGACAAGTCTTCAGGAAATAAATCCGGAAATTCTCGAACCACAGGGATTGCATCAAGTGTGGGGGTCTCTTGTTGAGTATCAATCACATAACAGATACAACCCCAACAACCCTTTCTTAGCAGTCGTTGGGCTGTCATGAAGGATATAATACATGGAGGAGGAGAGGCTCCAATTCATTCGAAGACAAGCTCGAGCTGGTTTGGCAACCTGACATGACATTCTCAGTAACTTCTGGGTTTCCAGGCACTAGGGCAAAAGCTCTTCCTTTGCGTTTCTGGTCCTTTCTCACTCTTCCAAGTACTGCGGGTTTTCAGACTGGTTCAAAGGGGCGAACGAGCTTTGGACAATTCCTCAGCAAATGGCCAACTTGGCCACATCTAAAGCATGCTCCCGTATCTTGACGGCATTGTCTCCAATGAGCCATTCCACAAGTAGAGCAAGCTGGAATGGTGCCACCTTTAGGGTCTGCAAGACTTTGATTGCTTGGACCGGTTGAACTGGTTGTGCCCGTATTTACTTTCTTGGGAGGCGCGGCACCGGGCCTTCTGTTATCTCTTTCCCAAAATCGCTTCCTCTGGCTTGGCTCTCCGGAATGCAAGGCTTTAATCCCTTTTTCCGCAATGTATGCTCGATCTACCACCGCCGCATAGGTTGGTAGTTTCAAAACCTCCAACTTGTCCTTAATTTCAGGATCCAATCCTGCTTCGAATTTTTTGGCTTTTCGAGCTTCGGTGGGAATGACATATGTCGCGAACCGGGCCAGTTGTGTGAACTTACTTTCATATTCGGCCACTGTCATGGTTCCTTGCCTCAGATGTATGAATTCTAAAGGTTTTTGTTCCCGTAGTGAATCTGGGAAATACTTTTCATAGAATACCTCTAAAAATCTCGCCCAAGTCACAATATCTTCTTTCTCTAGGGTAAGAAGCCACCATTCTTGTGCATCATCTTTGAAGGTAAAGGTGGCAAAAGTCACCTTCTGTCTTTTTGGGCAAGGTAGCGCGCGGAAGATTTTCTCCATGTCCCTGACCCAAGCTTCTGCTACTAGTGGGTTTGGACTGCCGATAAACGTGGTGGGTTTCAGATCTTGAAATTGTTTAATCGTAGTCAATTCTTCTCGTCTATCTAATATCCCATTGGTTATGCTGGTTTGCAAGGCTTGCAAAAAGTTGGTGACTGCTCTTTCCATGATTTGTTCCATTGGGATGGTACCGCTGACTGATGATCCCGTTTCATTTCCTTCGTTGGCCATTACTACAAGGTAAAATGATATAAGCATGACATCATATTGATAAAATTTTGATACAACGTCATATTAGTTCTATTATCACCACATTCATATATACATATTAGTTTTACTGTCACATTAATATCGTCATTTTCATGTTTTACTATCACATTAATATCAGCACATTAATACCATATATATATACATCATTGTTACCACACATAGGGCGTTAGTCTGGCGGTCACCAATTAATGTCTAATCCTATTGATACAAAAATATAAGGATTAGACTAATCATGGTCAGCTCACAAAAAGGGTCTTTTGGTTGGATGTCTAGAATGGACTGTTAGGCCACCAGGAGAACTGGCTTCGGAAAACTGGCCCATGAAATAACTCCGAAAACTCACTCTGCCTGATGGACTCAAACTCCCACACACTGAGCTCCACTCCAAAGCAACTCCATACTACCTGGACTACGTAAACAGGAGTACCGTGATCATAACCCCAAAATTCCCGTCCAGTAATCTGTATCGGTGTCTCCAAGTATGATGCACCGTCGGTAAAGTCCACAGCTGGGGTATAGGCAATGTGCTGTGGAGGAGGTGTCGTGGTGCGAATGTGGCTACTAGGGTATGCGGGTCCCCTCCTTTCTGCAAAGCCTACGGGTAGAGGTGCGATCAGAAAATGTGGTGGTTCTAGGTCCGGAGCAAGACCAACAATGTGGGTCGATCCTATGTACCTTTCACGAGTGCTACCACGGCTAAGTCTCCAGAATAATAAGTCCTCATCGGGGTCAGCCTGTAAATAAATGGGTCTTCCCATGAGATGGTCAAGTGTTGGATGGGCTTGCCTGACAAGACTCTCTGAGTCACCCCAGCCCTCTAATTGGTTTGGGAGGAGATGAGCTTCTGGGGGCTCGTACCAGAATAACTCCATTAGGTTCGCCATTCCTACAACACAAGAAAACTTAGCCTAGACATATATACAACATGGGTTATTTGCATTAGACATACCACATAATACCAAATAATGCAAGTTTAATATATATATATATATATATATATTTCAATTTAAATAATGTGAATTGCAATAATGAAAATTATGAAAAGATTTAAAACTTATACTATATATATATTTTTATTGATTTATTATTATTATTATCATTATTATTATGATTATTATTTTTAGGAGTATTTATACACAAATTTTAATTTATTGACTTATATTTCATTAAGTCTTAACAAAAAAAAAAATTTGGATCCCCAAAAGGGGACAAATTTTTGGGGAGGGCTTGGAAAATGCCCATCGATACTTTCCTCTACAATCAATGTCGGATAGGTGGATACACACCATGCCCAATACCTCATCCATGAGGCCAACTGTATCAGACAATTTCTCATTCAATTCTTAATGATTTTGGTTATTCTTTTTGCTGTATAAAGATCTTATTACAAAGAATCTAGACACATTTGATCCCACCTCAACTTGTAGTTGGGACCCACTTTAAGTTCACATTAAAGTCACCATAAAATCATTTTTTCCAATAATCTCCTACATGAATAAAAATTGACCGAATAAAGAAAAACGGA